CAAAGGACGACGTTGAGCTCTCGTCAGCTACTTCATGAAAAGCGTTGCCCCTGTTTCTCTCGTTCGTTCACAGAAGAATCGCTCATGTTGCGCTGTTGGGCTTCAAGTCATTCAGGTTGGAGGAGTCTTGAGTTTAGACATGGTCTGCAAAGCTTGCAGGCCTTCCCGCTGCGGAGCTTCCGGGCCTTGAAGACCAATCGCCATTGCAACCACCACCGCCACCGTCAGCACAGCAGGAGCAAAATGCCACCAATCATGAACAGTATCATTTTTCGTCAAGCACAATTCCAGCCACCCCACAAACGTCGAGATCAACACCATCGTCGAGCTCATGGGGATCATTTTGCTTTCCAGGAAATGGTCGTCAAAACGGTAAATTACAAATCAGCGGGACGATGACAAGGATGGGGAACTGGGTACTACCTGATTCTGTTGTCACAGCAGTCTCAGCGCAGTGCCGAGTCGATGAGACTGAAGTCTCGATCAATCAATTTTCACATATAAGCACAACTGTTTGTAAGGCCTGCAAGTCCGTGCACACGAGAGCACTTACAGTAGCTTTCATGTTCTGAAGAAAAAGACAGGCGCCCAGCTCAGCAAGAAGTCTGTATGGAAGGGCTGTGACTTGGCGACATCGTTCTGACAGAATCCTAGACTCCTAGACCTCCAAGCTTTAGACCGTTGACACCAAAGCTACAGCTCTGTTACTTGACACCTTCTCCTTCTCCGCCTTACATCGTATTGGTCCCCCCTCCCTCTGCAGGCTGACCTCCAGAGCCTCCATGTGCTCTCGCTGCTCCGTCAACATCTTCTCCAGACCTCAGACGACGGGAGACAGAGAGAGAGAGAGGGAGAACCAAGCTTTACGTAGCCGCAGTACCCTTTGAGAAGCCAGTGCTTAAGTTGGCGAGCAACCTATGCCTAGCAACACGACGCTCGTGGCGTTGCTGTTGCTTTTCACCTAGCAACTATTCCTGCAACGACGCTGACTTCTGCTGTCATCAAACCGACAATTAAACTGACCCTGGCTGCAGTGCCACCAACAATCGTGGAAGCGATAATGACGATGAGGTGATGAACAATGGCAGCGACAAAAATTATGTTACGTCAACGAGAAAACCGCAGGTCGTGAAAGTGGCTGTCGTAACGACCAGCACTTTCGCCATCACAGCCACCGACAGTCACAGGCAACACCCTCATTATGATCTCAACCTTCCCCAGTGTCCACACTTTCAATATCATCTTCATCCTCGTTATCGCCGTTATCATCCGCGTCATCAGCATCAACATCACCATCATCACCCACATCATCATGACGGGAAACAGGGAAGAGTCTGCATGCTTGCAACGTACTCTAACCCTGCACTCCTTGGATCCTGGCGCTGTCGGGTTTCGTCCGAGGCACTTTTGGTCTGCTGCACCTCTGAGTCGAGAAGGAAGGGAAAGGCGGCCAGGTGATCAAAGCCGGAAGCTGCGTCTCTTCTTCCATACCCCATGTGCCCCGTGTGCGAGTTCGTCTGAAGCTTGAGGCCACGCATCAAGTGGATTCTTCTCCACCTCGAAGTTTGCCAACCTTACCTTCAACACTATTATAGGCTGAGGCCGTTTGGGCTTGCTTGGGCAAGTTTAGAGTGTAGGGCTTTAACCTCTTCAACCGCCCCTAAGCCCTAAACCCTAGAAGAGCCCTAAACCCGAGACCCAAACAGAGCCCTTCATCCCTCCCAAGCTTGCCGGACCTCGGCTCGCAACGCTGCCGTTTGCTCTCGGGCCTGGGAGATCTTAGAGCAAGCATAGGCTAACCCCACACCTCACATCCTATACTCCCCCCTAATCTTTCAACCCATTTCTCAACCCGCCTAACATTTCAACCCTTAAATCCCTGAAAACACAAAGCACCTCCCAACAATCAACACAACAATCCCGAAACAAAGCAACCTGCCAAACAAATACAGCAATCCATAACACAATCCAAAACCCAAAGCACCTAAACAAACCCTACCCTCAACCATAAAATAACCCATATCCTAATATGAGGTGTGGGGTAAGACCCTAATAGAAAAATCCCCAAACGATTATAACCCTGAACTGGGACGCTTCAGCAAAGCCTCGCGAGGCATTCGCGACCGACGATTACAGAGAATAATATATTAACAAAAGTAATTGTTAGTATATTATGTTAAGAAGTCATCAGTATTATTGAGATAGCTTGAATTCTTCCCGAGATACTTTCAGCAATGTCAGCTTTAAGACGTGCTGAAAGTGGTTACCTTAAAAATCCCTGAGACCACGACTCTTCTGCAGAAGCTACGCAGTGGGCAGCAATGACTCTTCAAGAGACCGTCGGTGCCCGTTGCTGGCAAGCATCAACTTGCTTGGCAAACTCGACACACGAATCATGACCGAACCCTGCCAAACTTTACGATCCCTGTATACCCTCTCAGCAGTACACCGCATCCACCCCGGTAGTTCAGCCTCCAACTAATTCGCCTGTAAGCCCTCCCAATCAGCAAGCCTCACGATGCTCACGGCGCAATCGCTGAAGCTCTGAAAGCTCGCGCCTCAGAGGTGGTCTGGCACAGTAAGAATTCGAAACACGGGAATGCTTTAAGTTCTATCCGACGGTGTGCTTGCTGCCCAGCCTCACTTTGCAGGATCGTGTGCAGATGCCGGCAGTCTGCTTCAACCCAGTAAACCCTAAACCCAATACTTTTCGATGCACCCTGGTCCGTAGCATAGGGCCAGGCTGTCTCTCTTCTAGCAGAGCGCAGTGTCCGGCCTTGGTTGGCAGAAACGGGGCCTTCCTCCTATCTTACTTATCATTACGTGTACTAACGATACAGCTGTTGTGCTCCGTCTATGATTGCCTGTGTTTACCGCTTCTCTACTACAACATCAAAGGAATGCTTGCTGAATTAAAGATGGCAGGAGCGCCTGTGAAGTCTCCCCGTTTGCAGAGCTGGCGTAGAGTTGCTTCTTCCAAGGGTTCGACTTCCAACTTGGGGGTTGATTGGGGAGGATGCAGACTTGAACATTCGCAGGCAGAAGATCTCGAGAAACCAACGGCGGCCGGCAGTTCTATCCGATGCAGCCATTTTCAGAAGGCTGCTCCTGGCCTGTCACATTCACCAAGCCTTCTCAAAGCAATGCTTGCTGTCGTAGTCTGAAAGAGCTGCAACTCCGCCAAGCCGCTTCAGACCTTTCCACAAGCATCGTCAAGCGCAGCACCTCGCAGTGCATAAGCTTCGGGTATCTTGCAACTGAACCGAGGGCTTGCAGCAAGTTGGGGCCAAGCCATGACCTTGGCAGACATCAAGCCTTGAGCTTATTGCAAGTAGCAGATATACCCCTAGCCTCTCTTCGAACGTTGCATTCACCTATGGAAACGAATCCAGAACTGAATTCCGGCGTTCCGGCTTCTGCCACTACCGGAACGATACTTGTCGCGTACATCCTTTGCACGACGAGCATGGCCGCCTCGGCCTTATGCCCTTAGCTTAAAAAAGGAGCTAGTTAGAATAGGGTTTTGGGGCCTAGTAGACCATGTAATAAGGAACCCCCCAAACATAGTATAGGTAATCCTCTAGGCCCCTATATTAAGGCCCTCCGAGCCGTCTTCAAGGAAGCCCTTGGGCCCCAGAGTCCCTCAGCAACTTTGGCCTCGCTCTCCTGGTCAGCAGCTCGCCGCAGGGCCTCGCAACTTCGCGGGTATATACCCTTAATATAGCTATTATATACCCATTGTATAGCCCATTATAGGCTAGGGCTAGGGGTCCCCATTAAGGCGCTCCAAATTTCCTTGCAGGACATAACTTAACACTTGCGAGTTCAAAGTTCGGCTTTGTTGGGCACGACAACGCTGAGTCAGGAGGCAGGGTCTAGACAGCGATAATTCAGCTTGGCCCCAGCCCTAAACCTTGACCACTGCGGAACCCCTACGATCCCTACAAGCGCGAGCCCGAATATCTTGTCTCTTCGTTGAACCCTCAACCTCTTACAAGCCCCCAACGCCCGAACTCGGCTATGCGCGAACCTTAAGCCTCCGTCCACCAAAGCCTCAATGCCACTCCCGTTCGTGCAGCAACCCTACGCAGACGCAGTCCGCTCAAGCTGGCAAAAAGGCATAACGTGTGAGGCCGCATCGGCAATAGCTCAGGACTTTCGCCCTTCGTTGGTTTCTGGCTGCTTGTGAGAGGAGCACTACCCTTCTTACCAATACTGCGTCTATCTATTCGGTTATCAACTTGAAGAACCTTGAAAGATTCAGTGATGCTTGAGCCCCGCTCGCCGCAGTCTCGAAGGCTCTACTCCAGAATCAGGGTGCAGAGATTGAGCTTTCAGGGTATCGGATATAACTACAGGACTCTTTTTGCGCCTCCATACAACGTGAAGTGTTCTGGGAGCACCATGAAAACTGGCAAAAGCCGAGCGATATTCTCTCTCTCTCTCTCTACTTCTTCTTCCGCCGGGCATGAGGGGCTGTTAAGACCCCTCGGCCACTAGGGCCCCCCAGATTTTGTGGGGACTTTGGAGGAGTGTGAAAAGATTTCGTGGTTGTTTATCCCCCTGGTGGATCGGTTTGCAGTAAGGCCACGACTGAAGCACAACATCACAATGCAATGCAATATGTTAGATCCCCCAGGTACCTGGACTACATACCACCAGCAGTTCTGCTTGTTCGGTCCGGGGATGTTGTGAACAACAAGCTGAATGGCACAGGACTGCAATATGAAAGCAGAGCAGGATATCATGTTCCCCACTCGACCGGTGGTTAAGCATGAGGTTTACTACGGCTATTGACAATCCCCCATCTTTCTGACCAACACAAACGAACAACAAGCCAAGGTAGGTAAAAGTGATCAAGTACAGCATTTTGGGGGGTCTTGCCTTTGGCGTGTGTTTCGCTGGTAACCTCGGGTTTGTACTTGAAAAACAACATATCATGTAAGGGGCCAATAGGTAAGTCTGAAGAGCATGCTTCTCCCCGGGTTAGCCGTAGGTTGCTACAGTTCAGTGCAGCAGTTCGTACACGATGAATCAACTCTCTCTCTCTCTCTCTGTCTCTCTCCTGCCTCATCTCGCTCCCTCTGTAGGGCTTCGATGTGATCCTTCGCTGCAAAGTTATGGCATAGACTTGAGACAAGATTTGAGGGGATCGGCTCCATTTTGCATTTACTCTGCTCCACGCCGAAGACTCGTCAACATTGAGTCCCTCCGTCTCGACAGTGTGCCAACCTGTCCTGCGAGCGCTCCAAAGCCAAAGCCAGCGCCGAATCCCGAGTAGCGGAGGGCTCCGGCCTGTCTTCGACTAAGGTTTCAGAGTGAGGCATGCGGCAAAAAAAAAGTGTTATGGGTCTTATTCCTACGCGGGCCAGTCCAAGAAGTCTCAGGTCAGAAAGAGTGCGACAATGGGGATGGCAACCACTACTCGTGCTGCTTACTATCAGTCTGCGAGGGGCGCGTCTAGATCCCCAGCTCATGTAGAGATTCCACGCTTCACCATCATCCCCAGGTCTCAGGCTTCCACCGTACTAGGCGGGGAGAGGCCTCATCGCTTTGATAGGCCTCCAGCAACACAATGGTTGCGCAGCGCGAGGTTTATGTGCTGTGCCGGGAGCAAGGGAAAGTATTTACATCTTGCAGTCAGTGTGCCGGTTTTGTCACTCGTGGTTCAGACGTTGCAGTGCTTGCACGAGCTGGCGAAAGGTGCAGGGCTTCGTGCTTCAGGTTGATCTCTCCCTTGACGGTCATTGCACAATACATGTGTGTGTGTATATATATATATATGTATTTCTGTGTAGGTATACGTATATATATATATATATATATATATATATATATATATATATACATACACACGCATGTATACATATACTGGCCTCGACAAAGCCCTAGATTCGACCCAGGTTGAAACTCCATGTTGACTCAACCATGATTCTGATGCAAAGGTTGACCCCTGCAACTTTCTGCGCCATCCTTCGCAAACAACATCCTGGGTAAGGCCCCCTAGGCTTTAGTGCTTGGCACCGCTTAGGCGGCAAACAGATGCCCCCATGGTCTACTTCATTGAACTGCTGGGATAGCTCGCCCGGATTTTGAGCTCAGGATTGACCTTGCACTTGTAGGGTCCTGATTGATAGTAAGGGTCCCACTACTTGGGACTTAGGGTCTGCATTGGGGCCGTTTGTGCGCTACTGACTTTTTGAAATTATCAGAGTGTTCTCGTTTTGGCTCGGCCCTTGCTGTCGACACAAATTTTGACCTGACCGCTAAGCCCTAACCCCACCCCAAAACCCGAAATAATTCCGAAGCCGTACGGCCAGAACAGAGCCCTAAAGAAACCCCCAAAACCGCGAAGAAACCCTAAACCCGAATTAAGGCCCCTTATGGCCTGCAAGCCAAGATCTGAACCCCAAGGCCTAAACCCCTTAAACCCTCAACCCTCAACACCTCTGAAAGAGCCTTCGCCAGGTCCTCAGTCGAAGTCACAGGCTCCCTGTGGCCCATCTAGGGTTTACTCGGCTTTCCGAGCATCGGAGTCAAGAGCTTAGGGCTTAGGGATTTTGAGCTTCCCAGGCTTTCCGGCTTAGGGTTGGGTGGTCAGGGTCTAGGGATGTGTTTGTTCAGAGCGACAAAGATGAAGATCAGTGGTAGTCTGATGACCAACACTCTTTCCTTGTCTTAAGAACCTCTACTGTGTACGGTGCTTCTCTCCGGTTCTGGACGAGGAGTGTATCTGCCGTTGGGGGCCACAAATGCTGACACATATATGATGCAGGGCTGCCACACCCCCCCTCCCCCCCCTTCCCCCCCCGCCCCCCCCTGTGGTGTGGGGCCTGTGGTGGTACTTGTTTTGCCGCGACGTTCTTATGTGTTACTCCTTGTCTTCCCTCTTGCTGTGGCACCGGTGATACTGCTCATGATGTTGTGCTGCTCTAGACCGGGACATGAGTCGACAATCAGACCATGCTCAACATCATCCTTGTCGTCGTCATCATCATTAATACCTTCAAAAGAATATCTGCCACCATCACCATCGCCATACAACCCTCATATAATTCAGCATTGCAATTCATGTCAGATGCTAGAAACTACTGAGCCGATTGCCGCTTTCCGCACACGGCAGGGCATAGTGCCACACTCCCGATCCGCGCACAAGGTCAAGGGGCGGGCAAGCTGCGGACCGGGGGGAGGGGAGGAGGGGGGGTGGGGGCGGATACCATTGGGGGGTGGCGGCCCGGGACTCCGGATCCAAGATTCAGAACTTCCGCCCCGGGCTTAAGATTCAGCTTCAACCACAAATGCGGCCTAGTCAAACATGCAGGGAAGGCTCCAAAGGAAATGAGTATCCTTTGTTTTGGAGGGCTTCTTCATGAACTGCACCATCAACAGCCCAAACAATCCTTGGAAGCCCGAAGCCAATCCCTCAAGGTTCAGTAAGACTCTCAACCTCATGCCCGAACTTACAGTTTGCAGGCAGTCGACTGAGAACAACGGTCGCATGTGCGTGGCAATATCTACATCCACATCTAACTTGATGTCTGTATCTATGTCGATATCTAAACAAAGAGTGCGAGAGAAAACGAACGAGAGAGAGAGAGAGAGAGAGAGAGAGTCAACCGTATGTAGACCTATGCACTACGCAGGAAGCAGGATGCAAATTTACAGGCTCCCCCAACACCGTTATAGAACCTCTATATGGGTCCCTAGCCATCATAAACCACAGGCCCTGACCCTCCCCACTCAACAAAAAGCCCTCACGTGACCTGCTCGGACTCACGAAGCTCAGGCCACCGGTTCCAGAGCCTCAGAGCTTCGAAGTGAGGGGGTAGGGGGGGTGGGGGGTGGGTTGCGGAGGTTGGGTTTATTTAGGGTTCAGGGTTTGCAGGGTTTCGCGGTGTCGTGGGATGTTGAACCTCTTAGGTCTTTCCGAAAAATGTCTATGTCTTCGCAAGGGTTGTTTCAGTGTTCCGTTTCTTGACAGGCTGGGTGGTTTCTCTTGGTTCTGGAGGTAGGGTGGAGGCTATTCCTTGACTAAGGCGTTCTTCGTTCTTGAAGTTGTTGCAAAAGCCTTTTGCAAAGGAATTGTTGGCTTCTCCATATTTCGGCTGAGAGGGGTCACATTGAAAGTTTAGGGGCTTGGCTAAGGGCTGGGGGGGTTCGAGGGTTTTAGGGTACCCCTTTCGTTTTTGTGGGCTCAGGGTTCTAAGTTTAAGAGCTTGGGGTTTACGTTTAAGCCTACAGGCAAGCTTTGGGAGTTAGGGTTCAGGGTCTGAGGGTCTACGGTTCTCCCAAAATGCCACAGATTCGGGAAGAATGCCAACCCAAAGTGAGCAACTGATCAAAACAGTTTCGAACTTACAAGGCGTCCAACCTGACATTCGATCGAACCAAATTTTTCAAGCAATTGAGGATAAGGCCGACCGATTGCAAAAATCAAAGAATAAAGTGGGTTCAAGAGTTCAAGACGCTTCAAGGCTGCGATGGTCCAAAACGCTGCCACAGAGATTAGATGGGTTTCCAAGGGGTTTCCGGTTGAAAGAGCTTCCCCTTCTACTACTGCTACTACTGCTGCTGCTGCTGCCGCTGCTGCTGCTGCTGCTGCTACTGCTCCTGCTACTGCTACTGCTACTACCTCCTACTACTACTACTACTACTACTACTACTACTACTACTACTACTACTACTACTACTACTACTACTACTACTACTACTTCTAGCTGCTAGCTTCTCCATGATGAGAGGCCCGGTTTGATTGAGAGCGCAGGCTTTACCCAAGGTCTTCCAGGCTTACGGGGTTTCGGCACAGTTCTGCAAAGCACATTGGCCTTGCTTGAGGGCTCTTGGTTTCTGGATGCGAAGTCGGGCTATTTCCGCATGAGCATGCACCGAGACCTACACGACCCACACAAGACAAACCCAACCTCCAACGTTACAGTATGCATGCTTTGGGGTCTTAATAGGGACAATGCTTGGGCGTCGCAGAATGACACCAGCTCGCTCGCATCAATGGCAGTTGTGGCATTTTGTACCTCCGCGAAAAGCCTGGTACATCTTCGACCGCTTGCTCTGCTCGAGCTGGGCTTCGCGTCACACCACCCACCCCTCTTTAAGACTCCCTGACTCTCAACCTAACTCCCAACCCTTTTCGAAAGCCTAACCCTAAACTCTATAGACCGTACCGAGCAAGGCAAGCCCGGATGAATCGACTTGGTCCAGCGCCACAAGGGCTTTCAGACGGCCCTTCGGTGTCGGCAGTGGAATCTTCGGATCTTGTATTGACAGCAGCCGTAAAGATCTGTAAACAAGGAGTAGGACCTATAGGAACGGGCCTATGCTTCTGTACTGCAGGCCATGATGGCCTGTCACCACCATGCCGACCCCATAGCTCCACTTTTGCGGAGGAAAGGGTGCTGCTCGTATTCGCAAACACAATCTCTGGATCCGACGAAGGCTGTGTGCAACACGACGACCACTTAATGCCAAGGCATGCCGAAAGATGTACGAATGAGGCATATGAATGACAGTACATAGTGCGTTCCCCGAATAGATGTGGGGACGGGGATACTCAGTCCAATCCGAGATCTTGCCGAGCTTGGAAAGTTGTGCAGCTGCTAAGGAAGCTGGTGGGCACTTCCTACATGCCCTCCAACTAAAAACCCTTAACTTTCGAGACTTATGGAACTGGCCGAACTAAAGTTAGTGCTGGAAGCTTGATATCCGACGCAGCCCGGAAGCCACGTACAAATGCCCCATCAGGTTGTGGCATTCATATTTCACTTGCAGAACGTGTTGAACCCGATTTCTTTTGCAGTTTTTTGCACAAGCAGAAGACGGAAGAACACCCTAAGGCAAGACTACATTGGAGAGCTTGAAGGTCAACCTCCTAACTCCGCTCCTAGGCTGCATCGCCGTCGTCAGCAGGGAGTGCCACAGTCCAGAGTACAAGGACTGAAGCTCAGGCGTGAGACTGACAGCCTGACTGATTCTGACGGCACTTGATAAATGAACTGAGGCGGAAGGGGCTTCGAGCGAACAGACCCAACGGCTCTTATCTATGAGGCTCGAGCATGCTCAAGCAGAAATGATAAGACCAAGCAGGTCCTTCAGAATCCCACTCGAGATAACCTGGCTCGGCCTTGCATGCGGACCCGCCGGCAAGCCACAACTACGAATCCGAAAGGTTCTGAGGTCAAATCTCAACCGGAGCATGGTTGAAAAACCTGTGTATTTCATGCAATCTTACAGCCAAGATGAATCTTAAAGCCGTTGCTGGTGTGCTGCCTTATGCAAAAACAAGGCTTCTCTTCGCTCGAGTATGGCCTGCCTCTGCAGTCACACTCTGGCAACTGCAGTGTAAACCCCGCAAGCGCATAGCACCATTGTGGATCTTACAAGCTTCATACTGACGCCCAGCCCAAAAGGTGTAATGGGTGAATCCAAGCTACGTTCCCACCATCACCACCGGTGCTGAATACTTCGGGGCACTGACAGAGCCGCGGACTTTTTTGTGGAGGTGATAGAGGAACAGTGCCACTCATGCACGTGCTTGAGACCAGCAATTTTGACTTCGCTTTGGGAGGAAGTTGGACGATTAAAGGAGCCCTTTTGCTGCCTCTCGCTCGTCCGCGAGTCACATCAGAAAGCGAGCTGCAGCCAGCACGCGGAAAAACATCTCTGCAAATGCTCCCGTCATCGGGGCCATTGCTGGTGTTTAGTCGTGCAGCTGCATGCCGCTTGACGTCTTCGTGGAAACGACGTCGCACTCAGCCGGTGGTGGCGCTTGCTATGCTCCCAAGACACATGAGATTCAACCAGTCACTGCCAACGTCTTATGCTTGTGTAATACCGAATGCAGGTGATGCAACCCTGCGCTCATCAGCACCACTGCTCTCTTGTTACAGTCCCAGACTCCTGGTCGGAGCTTGGAGCGCATCTTACCGGCCGAGTTGTTGGGAAACTGAGGAAGTTTGACACATCTGCCGGGCAGGATGGGCATCCATGTCCGCTTCGCCTAGACTGAATCAACCAGTGCAATGCGTGCTGTATCATTCAGGGATCCGTCCAAGAAACACTAAATCAGTGCATGTGTTAGCGGGACGGTGGGCGCACATCCCATCGTAGGTTCGTGAGGATTTTCCCCCTTGTGCGCACACGGCATCCGACCTTAGTATAGACGGCGAGGTGGACATGTGCTGTAGCCCCGAACTGCAGCGAGCCTGACTGCACGAGAAAGATGCTACTCACATGGACGTGACGAGACTCAACGAACGAGACAACGGCAGGAGGACTTGCCACTTGGATGATGACAGGAAGCAAGATACCAGTTAGTATTCTGATGGTGATGGTGGTGGTGGTGGTGGTGGTGGTGGTGGTGGTGGTGGTGGTGGTGGTGGTGGTGGTGGCGACGGCGATGTTGATGGCAATACGAGTGGTGACGATGAGATGATCATAAAGCTGTCGCCGATGCTGATGACGATAAGGGCGCATATTGAATCAAGATGAAGCTGAAAGCGACGACCAGGAAAACACATGCACGTTCTCAACACAGTGATGTAGATGATAATAAAAAAGAAGCAACTTCCAAGAGGTGCTGACAATGGTGGCGAAGACTCTGAACCAATCATGATGATGATGATGACGATGATGATGATGACGATGAAAACTATGGTGGCAAGCTCAATCAGCTCAAAGGGCAGGCCTCGTCTTCTCACAGACAACAGCTTCAGGTGGCTATGGCAAGTTGCTGCAGGGTTCACCCTCCGAAAGTGCTAATCTAAATTTCATCCAATTTTGTGCCGGGACCTTGGCCATTTTGTTGCCTTTCCCTATCTGCCAAACGGGACCGGCGCGGAATATGAAGGAAGATCATCACAAGAAGAAAAGAACGCGCACTGGCAGAGAAATGCTGACTCAGAATGACCCTAAAGGCCCTAAACCCTTAAGCCCTAAACCCTAGCAAGCAGGCAAGGCACCGTTAGCGCCGACTCGGCGTCACCTGCCGTGGAGACAGCCGGACTTGGCCTGGGCACCGCAGCTTTCTCTGAGGATGCATATAAGGGGCCTTATTAAAATGTAAGACAGTAATAATCATCATGAAGGTCATAATAATAGCAGTATAAGAATAACAATCATGAATATAACTGGGACATAGGGATGGGGGGACACAAGGAACACTAAGGACCGCTGTTGGAAATTATCAAGTTCTACATAGTCCCTCAGCCTTTCCGTGCCAGAAGCTCAGCCGCATGATGACGGTGGTGATCCACACCTCTCGGCCCCTCCCTCAACCCTAAACCCTAAACCATAGTCTCAATGTCGGCAGCTTTGTAAGCCAAAGCGGCCAGTTGGAGTGCACAGATTTCCTGTCAACATCACGTCCTCGCCGTCGTGTATGCCCCACCTCGGAACTAGGAGGTTTAGCAGGACTTTGGTGTTGCTGCTGCTGGTTGCTGTTTGGGTTTGGGTGGTTGGTGCCTAAGTTGGTCCCGGTAAGTTGGTGTGGGTGGGCTTCTGGTTATTTTGTTCTCGAAATTCTCCTGCGTAGTACCGCAACACAGAATATGTGCTTGATTGCCGAGGATCCACGCATGGAGGGTAGTTGTACCATTGTACAAACAACACACCCGCACACCCATTATCTTCGTCATCACCATCATCATCGTCAGCAGCTTTCTAACTAGTCTGTTGCTCTTGTCACGTCTCTCCTTGCTGCTAGGTTGCTAGGTTCGACTGCCTAGCTGGGTTGGCTCTACGCAGCTCAGCATCGAGGACCTCATGCCACCACACACACCGTGACAAACGCA